GTCTACAAAATATTGTCTAAAAACATATTCTCCGTAGCATTTTCCTTAAAATTTTAGTTTGTCAACCAAAAAGTAAATAAATTTTTAGTTTTACGTGCTAGTGGAGTACACGTAGCATGAGTAGAAGTGAAAAAGTTAAAATAAGGTTGCTAACACTCCCCTTCATATTTTAGCAAAGCTCAATAATCATTTCATATCCTCACATAGGTTAACTGAAACAATTATTCTATTCAACTTTAGGTCAATAATTTTTTTTCTCTAACCCATGCTCTTCAACGTATCTGCAGCATCTACCTGAAGATTAAAGTTTAATTGAAAGATGAGAAAATCATGCCGCCGTATTCAAACAACACCAGTACGTGAAAACCATCATCCTCGGTTGGCGTTACCTTTTTCGATGCAGAAGCATTATATTCGTGCTGGATAGGCAGAGCCACTGAGCGACATTCAAGGACTACTACTTGTCGTAGTTTTGGTTCCCTCAGATAATCACGTCTTTACATTTCCACTGAATGCACATAAATAAGTCACTCCCATCACAAACTGTCCAGGCCGTCCGCTTCATCCGTTTCCTCCATGCGTTAGTTCTCGAAGAACAGATTCAGCTTGGGACTTTTCAATTTTAAAAAACTAGAGTAAAAACAAACAAGAAAAAAAAAATCAAGTGAATTGGAAGTTCAGGAATGATTTAGCACCAAAAGCAATTAAAACATGTCTAGAGCAACATTTTGATCAAGTATATAATAGAACAAAAGTAAGAATTACCTCTCTAAAAGTTTTACAGAACAAAAATTGGACAGCATTTCCCACATCCTCAGCAGCTAATGGTGGCCTGGGGTAGGGGAAGCTCAAGATCAACCTCTCTGCTCTCAACACGGAGTTCCTTGCCCCTGTGGCACCCTCTTGCAGCCTTGTCCTTGCCCTTGGAATCATTCTCATTCACAGCAGCACCACCATCTCTGCTGCATTACAAGTTTCCATCAACTCGTCCTGCTTTGCTGCATCCGAGTACTTCACATCTTCGCTCTGATCAAGGGCTTTCTTCCCTCATTTGCTAGGTGAATCAACACACTTTGCCTGCCAAAACTCGAGACCATAAGCCCTCTTAAACAGAATTAAAACCAACCAACAACATCAATATGCACCATCTCTGCTGCCAAAATCAACCTCTTGAGTCTCAATATTCCAAGGCCACTCCTAGACTTTACGATGCTTTATGACTGCCTTGCCATTGACATCCTTATTGCTCATAGTAGCCGCACCATCTCTGCTGCCATTACAAATTTCCATTAACTCTTACTGCTTTTGTTTTCTTAGTTTCTTCCTGATCAGATTCGGAGATGCATCCACGTTCATATCTTTTCTTCCATCAAGAGACTTCTCCTTCCCTCGTTTTCTTGGTGAACCAACACCAGTTTCCTATCAAAACTTGAGGGCATAAAACCGCTTAAACATCACTAAAACCTTTTTTGAATCCATACATTTTTGCGGTGAACCATCCTTGCTTCAGACATCCATCTCCCCTTGTTTCTTCGGCTTGTACACAGTCGAAGGGACTGTTCGTATTTTATTAGATTCCAACTCCAGTCGCCTGTCACCACCACACATAGAAAACATACGTTTTTGTCCTGATACGACTCAAGGGAGAGCTCATAAGATCCCCAGTTGTAGAGCAAAATGCTGTAATCTCTCAGTTCTTTTCTTTAAGGAGAGTATGTGGACATTCCAACAAAATTCATGGAGGGCAAGTGCACAGTTAATGCAATGAAAGAAGACAGCTTTACCTTCAGATCGATGCATTCTCCCACTTCATTTCCACATCAAGTTGTGAAAATCCTGTTTCTTCTCATATCTGTTCCGATAGGATGCCAACACAAGTGCTTTTCTTTTTCATACCCCAGCTCAACATGTATGAATACTGCTAAATTCCAACAAGGGCAAGCATGAGGGTGGTGCTCCATAGAAACCTGGCTCTCATTTTGTTTTGTGGTCATCGTCACCTGTTCTCACTTCAACAGAGCTGTGTATGTACAAAAATATATCTGCACCCACCCGAAGATGGCAGCAACATGAAGAGAAGATGAAAAGGAATGCTGCTTGTTTGAAAATAAAGCAATATATGAGTAAAACATCATTCCTGGGGTTACCTATCCAATTGAAGGAGAATCATATTCATGCCACACTGCAGGACAACCATTCATGGACAGCTAATTGATGGGCGTTAAAATCATTGGCCTTACATAATCCAATCTTTACAGTTCCACAGTTTGCTATCTGCCTCAGCAAAGCCTATGAACACGTTAGTGACATAATTTTGCCTTGAAAGCATAGTTGAATTTCACTGTTAACATTTGACTAGTCTATAAGCCTAAATGATTAAAGACAAATTCTACAGATAAGGTGCAACATATTTACAAAGGCATTAGGAATAATGCCTTCACAATTTTCCCTACATTTCCCATTTTATCATCCCAATCAAACTTTGAAAATAAAGGTCGTACCCAGTGCACAACGCACATAAATAAGTCACTCCCATCACATTCTCCTGAAAATTTTAAGAAACATTTTTATTTTAAAGGAAAAAGAAAACAGAACAAGAAAGCGATGCAGTGTGCTGGGCCGAAACAATTCAATAGAAATTTCTGCAGATACATGTGATAAATTTTTCTCCTCCAAACATTTTTCTTTTTAAAGAAAAAGAAAACAGAACAAGAAAGCAATGCAGTATGCTGGGCCTAAACAATTCAATAAAAATTTCTGCAGATACATGTGACAAATTTTTCTCCTCTGCCCTGTTCCTTTTATTTTAGTAATTGAACTCTGAAACTTTGAAAAGAATTCAGCGGGATTGTTCACTCTCTCTTTAAATCTTAGATAGGGGATGAAACAGGATACTCCTCCGCTTTACATCATTAAAGTTACGAACCAGCACCATTTATGTGTGTGTACATATATACACACACATCAATCATTAAAGTTATGAACCAGCACCATGTATGTATGTGTGTGTGTGTGTGTGTTGCAACAAAAAATATGGCGAAACAACTAAAAATGGTTAACTAAAAAAATGAAAGAAAAATCTCTATGTAGATTTTATGTAGAAAAGTTGAGACAATCAATATAACAAATAAAAGATAAAGTACCTGACATTAGAGAGTTGAGAGTGAAATGAGAAGCAAAAGTTTTGGTGAGAGAGAGACAGAGATCATATCATGATGACTATGTCATCTCTCTTTAAGCAAGGAATATGAGCTATCTTTCTCCATTCTTTTCCTTCTTGGTCTCATACCTCTTCTTCATAGAGGGGCATCTGGTGATGTTCAGGAAAGAAATAGATGCCGGAAAACCCTGTTTTGGCAGGAAGTCGAGACTATCACACCTTCCAATATATAGCTTTTGAAGAGAAGTGCGGTGTTGAAGTCCATTTCTGTCCAAAGATTTCAGACTTGAGAGATAAGAGATTGCAAGAGTGTGAAGAGCGGTAAGAAGCAACTGTTCCTTGAGCAACGTCTTCAACACATCCTCGCTGCTGAATTGAATCTTCGAAGGGAGACAAGCCGTTGCAAACCCCAGTTCTCCACTGAAGGCCTCAATTTCTCACAATCTCTGTTATGAAATGTTTGTAGGTTGGGAGGCAAACCCCTTTCACCAAATGACACAAGATTTGGAAGATCCCAGGTGCTCAATTTTTGAAGGGTGGTGCGGGTGACAGGTGTGCATATGTTTGGGCAATAACTTCATATTATCGATCCCCAGACTCCAACATGAAATTTTTGCTATCGCATCCCTTTGACGTTGGCCAATCTTTCATTTTGCTCCCCAATCCATCCCCTCGATGTCCTGGAGGAAAGACCGAAAAGATCTTTTAACTTGAAATGCAGAAAACAGGACAATTACAAAATTATAATTTGCATAATATTTATCTTCTATTTACTTTGTGTTAAGAGCCTCATCACAGAGGAAATTTAAAAGCTTAAGGCATCATATCCATCCTCACCTCCACTAAAACACTCTGCGGGCAGATCCTGCAGCCTTGCAACCCTGGACGCAGAGATCAGGTTCTCCAAATCTTGGAACCATGAGCAGTTGGTGCTTGCTTGCTCTAGAGGCCTTAGGAATAATGCCTTCACATTTTTCCCTACTTTTCCCATTTATCATCGCAATCAAACTCTGAAAGTGGAAACAAAATTTAGACATGATTTGACAAGGAAAGATAGCAATGTGAAAGTTTTAGTGGGAGCAGAGTAGTAATCACTTGAGGTGTACCAAGATGCAAAATAATAAGAAAATTTAGGAACCAGTTTTCCTAAAATATTGAGGAAACAACTCTAGTAGAGAAATGCAAATTTTACTTGTGATGGAAAAAAAATTTACATATATATCAAAGTCCTTCACAAAAATTGCTTGTTTCTTCTCATCGATATTGAATGCAGATGTCAACTCAAGCGCATTCCTTTTTCATACCTTGTCTCAGAAAGATACCTTAAATTCAAAGTTGAAGATACTATAAATTAATGAGTGATCTAAGAAAACAAGCATATGTCTCAGTGGAACCTAATTATTAGCACAGCTTCTTCAAATTAAATTCCAGTTTGTTACGCGTTCAAGTTTGACAATCTGGATCTTTTCCTTATCTTAAGATGAATGTGCATTCTACCACACTCAAATCATATCAGTATGAGAAAGGGAAAAAAAACATCATCCAGGGTTACCTCCTCGCCCATGCAGGAGAATCATATTCTTGACAGTGACAAATAGCCATGGCACGATTCGACAACTAGTAATTTATGTAAGCAAACACATGTTGCCCTTGGATGATATTGTCCTGAAATTTAAGGACCATGCTTTTGTTAGAGTAGCGTAGTTGAATTAAACAATTAAAAACTGACTGACTAATTAATTAAACAGAGTATAAGTATAGATGACAGTAAACAATTGAAGAGAAACTTTTACAGAATTTGAATCTTGCCTATGGAATAAACATGGCGCTATGCACGTACCTGACTTTGACTTGAGGCCTCAAATGATGAATTGATCATCTATCTTGATGAGAGGAATGTGAGCTATCTTGCTCCACTCTTGTCCAGTCTTCTTCTGACACCTCTTCTTCAGGGAAGAACAGTTTTGGATGCTCAGAAAAGAGAGCGATGCCGGCAAACCCTCTTTTGGCAGGAATTCGAGACTACGACACCCCTTAATTTCGAGCTCTTGAAGACAAGTGAGGTGTTGAAATCCCTTTCCCTTCAGAGATTTCAGACTCGTTCCACAGATTGCGAGAGTGTGAAGAGTGTTAGGGAGCAGCTGTTCCTTGAGCACCGTCTTCAACAGATCCTTGCGGCTTGAGATCCGAAATGTTCGAAGGGAGACAAGTCGTTGCAAACCCCAGTACTCCACTGAAGGCCTCAGTTTCTCACAACCACTGATTCGAAATAATTGTAGGTTGGGAGGCAAACCCCCTTCTGCAAATGACTCAACATTTGGAAGACCGGATATCTGCAACTCTTGAAGGGCGGTGAGGGTGTGTATTCGGTCGGGCAATAACTTTAAATTCTTGCATCTCAAGACTGCAAAATGAGACAGTTTGGGAGTGGGCAATCCCCCGTGGGGAAAAGAGACCAGATTTGGACAGAAATAGATAAGGAGATAGTCGAGATGAGTGAGATTTTCGTCATCAGCTCCTTCTCCAATGGCAAGGGATTCTAGATTTTTACTGCCCCAGATCAGAAGAAATGAAAGTTTGGGGAAAACGCCCAGCGGGAAGGACCTCAGTGAATCACAGCTGTCCCTCAATTTCAAATGTCGAAGGGATGTCAATTTGGCCATCATCTCATGAGATAGGAATTCTAATCTCCTGCAATTTTCTATTCGAAGATGTGTCAAAGAAGTGGGTAGACCGTTTCTCGGGAACGACAAGAGTGACGCGCAGTTAACGAGACTCAACTCTCGAAGACAACCGCTCAAGTGCGGCTGCAAGCAATCTGTGCTACTAAAAATTTGAACCTCAAGCGTCCAAAGCAAGCACAGCGACTCCGTCTCTAGTAACGACGATAGACCTGGGCATCTAACTATGTTCAGGTGTTCAAGAGATTGTCGCAAGGACTCCGTGTTGACGATGAGAGACCAAGGTATCCATCTTGTTCTGGTAGCCCTTTCATGTAGAACCCCGCAGTCTGACACCCAAAGCTGTCTCAATGAAGGAAGATGATCGGGCAAGTTTCCCTTCAGCTTCGGACAATTCACTAAAATGAGCAGCTCAAGACGAGGAAAGTCTGGAGATTGACCTCTACCTGGACTCGACAGCCATTCCTCCCACTCCGGCATCTCTTTGAACCCTAGCCTCTCGAGAGATTGAAATGGTTGACTTAGAGAAGCTCCATTACCCCCGTAGAACTCAACACCAATACTCACAATAGTTTTCATCCTTTCTATATAGAGCTCTCTTAGAGCGGGTAACCGCCCAACTGGTGGCAATGAGAAGCAAGTACTACAATCACTAAGACGCATGACTTGTATGTTGGAGAAGGAAGAGTCTCCCAACCAATCCGGAAAGCTGGTTCCACCATAAAATCTGATGGTCAGCTTCACGAGATTCACAGAAGGCTGTAGGCTTTCAAGTACGTGTCTCTCTTTTATGGAATCATCTGCTTCCTCATGACCCCATGCCAACTCTACTTCGTTGAGATCTTTCTTATCCTTCAAATTGGCCCCCAAGGCATCTATAGGATTGACGACATTTTGTAGATTCAAGATAGAGAGTTTTCCTCGAAGGTTCGACAATTGCCCCAGTTCACCAATGCCACCCGACCTAGTAGATTCCCCCAACACAAAAGCAGTCAATGTTCTCAAACTTTTTAGCCTACCCATTTGCACCGGCATCTCTTTTATACAAGTTCCACTAATATCAAGATGACGCAAATTAATCAATTTCCTCATGTCTGCAGGCAATTCAACAAGAGAGGAACAACCGACCAACAATAGAGTTTGCAAATTGTAGAGAGTACACATCGTATCTGGTAACTTTTTAACTGCAGTGTGAGAGAGATCAATGTAGTGCAAGTTTAAGTGTTTACCAATGTAATCAGGTAATTGAGTGATATTTTCATATCTTGACAGCGACAACACCCGTAAACATTTTAGTTTTGGTAATAAATCTTCTAGAACCTTTATGCTTACATATAGGCTCTCCCTCTTCCAAGACGGTCTTAAAGACATAGGAAATAAGGTGCGCAAACACTTAATTTCATCCAATGACCTAAGTTTTGCAGCAGTATCAAATCTTCCTCTCATATATGACAAATGCCGAACTCTTTTAGGAACTTCATGCGACTCTCCCTCATCCAACCTAAAACAAAATTCTCCAGACACATACATAGCCAAGTCATTAATGAGATCATGCATTGTGAAACTTGATGGTTTCCATGATCTTTGAAGTAGTGATCGTGACAATAGTTCATCAAAGTATATCTCACCGAGCTCTTCCAATCCTTTACCACTCTCATCTTGTGGAATTAAACTCAGTGCCATCCAAAGTTGAATTATATTTTCCTTTTCAAATTCATAGTCCTTTGGGAAAATTGAGAGATAAGCAAAACATTGTTTTAAATAAGTAGGGAGATAATGATAACTCAATCTTAGAGATGGAAGAACATTTTTATCAGTATGCAATGTCTCCCAAAGATTGCTATTCAATATGTGACTCCACTCCCTGTAACCTACATTACAACCTAAGAGACCCCCAAGTGCTTTTGCAGCTAAGGGAAGACCATTGCACTTGCGTGCAATTTGCTTACCAATTTCTTCCAAGTGTGGATGCGCACTAGGATTTTCATTTCTAAATGCATGTTTTCTGAGTAACAACCAACAATCTTTATGCGACAAATGTTTCAAATAGTGAATAGGACCGGTATGCACAATGGATGCGACACTTTTGTTCCTTGTTGTCACTATCACCTTACTTCCCCTCTCCCCATAAGTAAAAGGAGTCCTTACAAGATCCCAATCACTATAGTTGTCATTCCAAAGGTCATCCAACACAAATAGGAACTTTTTCTCCCTCACTTGTTCCCTAAGTTCAACTTGAAGCAAGCTATCTTGAAGACTGCAAGGTTTTGAGATAATTGATTCAATAAGAGTTTTAGTTACCCTCATAGCGTCAAAATCTTCGGAAACACAGGCCCAAGCTGTAACATCAAAATGCTCTTTTATATTTTTATCATTGTAAAGGAGCTGAGCAAGGGTTGTCTTACCAACCCCGCCCATACCCACTATTGGGATTACTGATATGTGGCTGCTACTTGCATCATCAAATAGCAACATTCTTTTCAACTTCTTTTTATCTCTCTTCCTACCACAAGCACTAAATTCACGCTCAACCAGGGATGTTGTGGTTCTTTGAGAAACCTTCTCCTTAACGCCTCCTCCTATAAGACCAAGGAGATCTTTTTGTTTCCCAATGTGTTCCACCGTTTGAAACAACTCTTGTATCTTACCATTCATGCCTTGATAAAAAGGATTAAGAGAAGTAGAGAAGAAGTTCCACACCTGGGACGTCATTTTGGTTTGATATTCCTCAGCTTCCACCTTGCTTTGCAAAGCTTCAGCATCGATCTCAGCCAGCAGGTCCTCAGCATCGAAGACGGCATGTTTGAGCTCGTCAAGCCACTTTTTCACACGAGGTTTCTCAATCTGCTTATCCTCTGCATCATCAAGCACTGCGTCAAGGGCCAGAAAAGTCAGCTTCAGTTTCTCCAAGAGTGAATGGTCAAGTTTTTTCCGTCGGAAGAAGTCCATCAACATCCCAGAAGAAATCTTGTCGCACAGCGTCCGGATGGAAGCAGAGAGAAAAGCCTCCCCAATCAAAGCTCCTGCCATTTCTCTTTCTCTTTCTCTGTTTTTTTTTTCTCTCTTCAAAGAAGTGTTGAGTTGAGGAAGAAGAAGAGTGTTATCACCTATAATTTTATTGTATAAGCTTAATTTCGTTTCGGAAAGAGACAACCTGATATATATAATATTTTAAGTCAATAATTGAGTGGAGCCCACACATTAATCAAAGAGTCTTATTACCTATAATTTAAGTCACAATTTCCCAGTAGTTGGTTTGGTTGGTGTGAGAGTGTGGGTAGGGGATTTGGATCCTCTCCCGAGCAGGGGTCCGAATCCTCCTGACTCAATAACACGGGTCGTTAAATTTTGATTTAACGGTTATAATTATTATAATTTTAGAAGTGTTTTTTATTTGTAACCGTTGGATCAAAATCTAACGGTCTGTGTTATTGGATCTGAAGGATTCGGACCCTGCTCAGGGGAGGATCCAAATCCGTGGGTTGGGTGGCAATTTTTTAGTAATTAACCATAACATCACTGTTTGTTGATAATTTGATATTACAAGCCGCGTTGGGATTCTGCTCTTGGGCGGATACAGCACAAGATTTTTAAATTGATCACCTAATTAATTAAGATTAAAATTGTAATCTTTTGTTGATTATGTTATCATGTCATCATGCATGTGAAAAGAAATCACACTGACGTGGTTAATCAATATATTGGAGTTATACTACAAGTTGTTAAACTCAAAAATAGAAGGGATCTCTTTTTTTTTTTTTCATCCCTTGCCACCAGGTCTTATAATTGGCTTGTGAAATAGGGAAGCTTCAACTCGGGTCCAAGCAGGCAACAATACAATGCCTTTCATCAAAATTTTGTCATCCTAGTGCACCTAGCAATCCCTTCTTCTAGTTGTCGACCCATTTTTCGATTGGTAACCAATTTCTTCTTTTGCAGTCAGTCGAGATTAAAATGAATAAAAGTGAATTAAATAATATCATGTGTTGTACGAAGACATACTCGGAACGATAATTACAATAAAAAATGTTATTAGTACTATGCTTCAACATCAAACAACAAAGATATTGTTGAAAACAAACAGCAAGATAATGCTGTGAACACAGAAAATTCCTGAAACGAAAGAGACAAGAACAACGTGGACAAACAAATATTTGTATTTTGATTATTTAGGGTTACAATCTCTCTCAAATTTGATCCTCTGATTCGATCTCCGTAAGGTGTGTATTTGTGGATGTTTCGTTGATCCAAGGGCCGTTGAGGCTTGATCTTGGATGAACTGTTGGAAGTTTCTTCAAAGGGCCGTGGGCTTGATCTTTGAAGGTGGATTTGAGCGGATCTTCAAGGAGCCGTTGGGGCTTGATCTTGAGGATGAATGTTTCTTCAAGGGGCGTTAAGGCTTGATCTTGAATAACGGTGATGAACGGATCTTCAAGGGATTTTGGGCTTGATCTTGAAGAACAGTGATGAAAGGATCTTCAAGGGCTTTTGGGCTTAATCTTGAAGAAACGGTTGGATGTGTGGATTTGTCGACGTTGTTGATCCAAAGGGCCGTTGGGGCTTGATCTTGGATGAACGGATGATGAATGATGGACACTTTCTTCAAGGGTCGTCGGGGCTTGATCTTGAATTGGTGGATGATTGTTGATCCAAAGGGCCGTTTGGGCTTGATCTTGGAAGAACGATGAACGAAGAACGAAGAGAGCTTTCTTGATTCTTCGGGAACCTGGATGCTTGAGAGCTTCGGAGTTTCAGAGCTTCAGAGCTTCAAGGTGTAATATGAATGAAATAGGCTTGTATTTATAGAATTTTCCAAGATCTAATTTTGAATATAATATTCCAGATGAAATAAGTCGTTTCTGCCAGGTGTTGACACGTGTCCTATTTGATGACTTTTCCAACTCATTTCCATTTTCGTTGAGTCACACGCTACGTGTAAAATTTATGTAATACATGAGCGTTGACACTTTGATTTATTGGTCAACATTTATTTACCGAAATTTCGATGTCTACAAATGCCCCCACTTCAAGGCACGTCGTATACATGTGCTTGTCACGTGTAGGAGATGTGTTTTGAAGTCCCTTACTGTAGATGTCGATCCAAGGGCTGTCGAGGCTTGATCTTGAATTGGGCTGGAGATTTCTTCAAGGGCCGTTGAGGCTTGTTTTTGAACTTTTGTTTGAAATTTCTTCAAGGGCCGTCGAGGCTTGATCTTGAAGGTTGAAATTGGACCATAAGGAGCTTTATGTGGTAGATGATCTTTGGCTTTGGTAGTGGGTGAATCGGCACATATTTTGTTGCGCTTGTTGACTTTCCACAGCTTTGATCTTGAACTGGGTTGGAGGATTTTCTGGATTCCTCCAATTGTTGATTTTCCACAGCTTATTCTTGAACTGGGTTTTGATTCAAGGGTGGTAGACACTTAATCTTGAATCAGACTTGTGATTTCCTCAAGGGCCGTCGAGGCTTGATCTTGAATTTGGCTGGAAACTTCTTCAAAGGCCATTGAGGCTTGATTCTTGAAGGTTAATTCGAACACATGACAAGCAGGCATGAGGTGAAGGTGACGACTTGTTGCTTTGTTCAATCTTTCTAATTCACACCCGAGCAGTTTGGTCAACGGTATGATCTTCAAGATTGATGGGCTCTTCTTCCAGTTGGTGACTTGATCTTTAAGGATTTGATTCAAGGGTGGTGAATCGGCGCATGCAGCCCACACCGCCTAGTAAGTCGACCCAAGAATTTGAGGGTCAAAACGAGTTCTTCATCTCAGACTCTTTCTGCCGAGTTGACTGTGAATGATGCATTCTTCTCTGCTTGTTTCTTCAGGCAGATATGGCAGCTTCTCGAGTTCTTCAGCTCGGACTCCTTCTGCTGAGTTGACTGTGCAAACTGCATTCTTCTCTGCTTGTTCCTTCTGCACCTCTTCTCCACATGCTTCAAGGTATCATTTTCACTTGCCTTATCTGTTCTCCAGGCAGATGTGGCAGCTTCTTTGGAAGTACAACAGCAGTGGGAAACGAGTACTCAAGAGCAGTGCTAGGTAGGCAATCAGGGAAGGGTTCCAAGCAGTCGGTTCCTTACCCGAGTTTAAGTGGAAGTTCCGGCATATTGTTTTCTTTATCCTTGTCTTTGTAGGTAAGAACAAAGACAAAGGAAATGACAGGGAGAACGCATGATATGAGATACTTTTGCTTTCTACCCTGGTGATATGAGATACTTTTGCTTTGGTGTCATTTGTTTGCTGAAGTACCCCAAGGGATAAGGAACACCGAGTGACTCGAGAGGCTTCGTTGGGAAGGCATTCTCGGAGATGAAGAAAGGTTCCGTATGTCTGCCTTGCTATGGAGGGTGAAGGTGGACAGTTATAGGGAGTTCCTTAATACCTGTAGATGTATTGTTCTTTCACTTGTGTCAGTAGCCAATGCGTGATTGATCAGTATGGCTTCACGTGCCTTCTTCTTTATCATAAATCTTCGACAAATTGTCCGTAATTTCCGCCAAGCTGAGTGTGCGTGTGACAGGTGTTGACACGGCTGAAAAAGACTGGCGCTTCTTTGATAACTGGGATCGGCGCTTCGACAAATTACCCGTGATTTCCACAAAGCTGAGTTTGCGTGTGATGGGTGCTGACGTATCTGGAAAAGACTGGCGTCTCTTCGGTATCTGGGATCGGCGCTTCGACAAATCACCCGTGATTTCCGCAAAGCTGAGTTTGCGTGTGATGGGTGCTGACGCGTCTGGAAAAGCAAGATGCCTCTCTGATTTCTGAGCTTGCCTCTTCGATTTTTGAATTGGCCTCTTCGAATTCTGAGCTTGCCTCTTCGATCTCTGAAATCCCGTTGAGTGCTAATGTTTATAGAGGCACGCAGTTCGTTTCAAAGCACACTTGAATTTTCACTTGCAGAAACTCCCTTCTTGTACTTCTAAGATCTTGATCTGTCTGACCTCTTCTTTCTTCAACACCTTTGAAAATGTCTGGACCCTCCGACCGTCGTTTCGATTTGAACCTTGGTGAAGAGGCAATCTCGCCCTCTCCCGATAACATATGGCGCCCATCATTCATATCCCCTACTGGTCCTCTTACCGTTGGGGATTCGGTGATGAAGAATGATATGACCGCTGCGGTGGTGGCCCGGAACCTTGTCACTCCCAAAGACAGCAGGCTGCTTTCCAAGCGGTCTGATGAGTTGGCTGTTAAAGAGTCTCTGGCCCTTAGTGTGCAGTGTGCGGGGTCTGTGTCCAACATGGCCCAACGCCTATTTGCCCGAACCCGTCAAGTTGAATCGTTGGCGGCTGAAGTGATGAGTCTCAAACAGGAGATTAGAGGGCTCAAGCATAAGAATAAACAGTTGCATAGGCTCGCACACGACTATGCCACAAACATGAAGAGGAAAATTGACCAGATGCAGGAATCTGATGGTCAGATTTTACTTGATCATCGGAGGTTTGTGGGTTTGTTCCAACAGCATTTGCCTTCGTCTTCTGGGGCTGTACCGCGTAGTGAAGCTCCGAATGACCAACCTCCGATACCTCCTCCTTCTGTGGCCCCGCCGACTGCTGAGGCTCCGCCCGAGCAAACTTTGTGAAGGCTCTCTCTCGTCTGTTTTATTTTTTTGATTTATGTATGTGTACATATTTGTAATTTATTGGAGACATTAATAAATGAGCTTTATTTCACTTAGTGTCTACATGCTCCTTTTTTTCTTTTTTTATTTATATATATATATATATATATATTTATTTATTTATTTATTATATATATATATAATTTTTTTATTATTATTATTATTATTTTATTTATTATTAGCTAAAGCTGTATGTCCTTTTTTTTTCTCCCCAAATATGTTGCTTGCAGTGTCAGGCAAATATGGGCGTTAAAGCTTTTCCCAGCTTTAACAAAAGCTTTTTCTTTGCTGCTGTATGTGTTATAATCATTCACGGCAAACATGGGCGTTAAAGCTTTTCCCGGCTTTAACAAAACACGGCAAACATGGGCGTTAAGGCTTTTCCCAGCTTTAACAAATGCAGTTGTGTATAAGTAAGCCTTCCTGCAAGGCTTTTAGACATGTATCCGATCCTC